TTCTCCGCCTCCAAAAGGGGTCTTTCTTTACGAATCAGCTTTTTAGAGGATTCTTCGACTTGGCCTAGGGCTGCTTGTAACCAAACCCCTTCATACCATATGCCTCTAGACGTCTCACTCGCAAGGAATATGTATGTTTTTTCAACCACTTATTACAAACAATTTCAGGCTTCGGGGTAGTCAGTCACTTTCACCAATGCTGCGCCCCGCCGTGTCATCTGCTCTGGGTTAGTTTCAGACTCCAGTTGGAATCCACGTTAAGACGGTGCTGACAACTCCAACAGGTGTTACATCACTGGAAGGCGGGCCCACCCTCCACATGAAACTAGTTTTCCTCTATGGCAACCATCGTACTCCAGGCAGTCCTTAAGACGTAATATAAAATTACTCTGAGAACATCAAAGACTGTCCCGTGAACACAAGTTAAAGTTGGAAGCACAGAGAGACGGGCGCGCGCACACGCAGGCACGCACACATCCACGCCTAAACCCCAAAGCACTGGATTTCCCCTCCGCTGCAAATCTCTGAAAATAGGAAATAGAATGTTTCCTTTGACCAAAAAGGTTTCTCTCAGGAAAGCATGACTCAGATGGTGATAATCGGGGCCTTTGCTGATAGAGAACTCATGGGGGTTTTCCTCTGGGACACATCACCCAGAAGGCGGGGGCGGGAACGAGGTGTGCAGGGTGAGAGCTTCCAGGTTTTCCCAAGCCTGCCTACCTTCAGTCCCTGCCTCCTCCTCCTCCCCTACTGCGAGGTGATGCATTGTTTAAAAATGTGTTCAACTCTTACCTGTTGAAAAGTTCTCAAAATACCATCTATTCAACCGAAAGTATGGTGGCTCTATTTTCTAAAGCAAAATTATGACGGTCTGCCCAGCCGGCATGGCTCAGTGGTTGAGTGTTGAACCTATGAACAAGGGGGTCATGGTTCGATTCCCGGTCAGGGCACCTGCCTGGGTTGTGGGCCCAATCCCCAGGAGGAGGTGTACAGGAGGCAGCCAATCAATGAATTTCTCTCATCATTGACGTTTCTCTCTCTCTCTCTCCCTCTCCCTTCCTCTCTGAAATCGATATATATAAATTACTACAGTCTGTCAGTGGAGCCAAATATTTAAAATCAGATCTCTCTACCACTTCCTTTGATCCCAACATTTTTTTACGTGCTCATATAGAAAAAGCTTTCTTATTTTTCCAAATGACTGATCTGCATTCTAAGGAACTGTTTTGCTCTAATAAACACAACTGCATTTGCCCTTGTGATCCCCAGGTTAAAAAAACTGTTCCATCAGCCATTTGATGTCAAAGAAAACAAACTAGGCTAAGTCCACTTTCACAAAAACCCCATTCATAGATGAATAAACAGCTTCGGAAACTGTAGCTCCCGGCAAAATGTGCCAGCAAAGAACAAGGACGTGAGCAGAGCACGTGAAAGCGAAAAAGACAGATTTGCTGCTCTCGGTTTCCAAAAGACCGGAGAGGAATCGGGATGCGGGGAGCGCAGGGAGCTCTCCGAACACTGGCAGGGAAAGAAAACATTTATACAGCGATCGATCACTCCCAACTTCAAATGTCATTTTAAAATCGCTGGGATGGGAAGCTACCAATGAACCATCTGTACCTAAACCTTGGATTCTCAAATGCTGGAGCCACCAGGATACCACCATCTCCAGAATCCCACAGTGCCTTCCAGCTGGGCTCCCGGATCCACTTCTGCCCCCAAGTGAAACTCAGATCAAGTCACGCCCCTGCTTTCCAAAACAACTAGAGAAAACTGCAAAGGTCTGACCAAGATAAGGCCCTACATGAGAAGGCCCTGACCAAGATAAGACTCTACATGACCCTCTGTGTGTGTCTCCAACCCCACCACCACCCCACCCACCATCCTTACTCTCCACGACTCCCCCCACTTCCTTCCCTCCACCACTCCAAGCCCATTCGCATCTCAGGGCCTCGGCACTCCCTGCCTTTCTGCCTACAGTGCCTTCCTCCCCCCCCAATTTTCCCACGGCCGCTTCCTTCCTGTCATCATGCCTCCATGCCACCTTCTCAGAGCGGCGTCCCTGATGACACCATCCAAAAAAGTCTCCCTCGTCCCAGTCACTCGCCTTCACGTCTCTGCTCTCCTTTGAGTTTGTCAACAGCTGGTATTTTCTTGCTCCTCTGCTTTGTTGTGTTGTTGCTGTTGTTGTTTGCCAGCTACCGCATAACAGCAGGGACCAGCTGGACCCCTGCACCTGGAACAGGTCCTGGGCTCAGTGTGACCTCAGGGATGATTTGAGTGAACGATACCCTTGTTTCACTCCAGGGTGGAAGCCTTCGTCAACCTAAGTGTTCCTCTCAAGCCTTTTCCAAGGGAGCCAGCACTAAACCTTCCTGTGGCCCCCACCTTCCTCTAAGACAGTGGTCGGCAAACTCCTGAGTCAGCAGAGCCAAATATCAACAGTACAGCGATGGAAATTTCTTTTGAGAGCCGAAAACCGACTTCTGCACATGGGCCACGAAGTTTCAATTGCACTGTACGTGCGCGCCCGCACGTGGTATTTTGTGGAAGAGCCACACTCATGGGGGCCAAAGAGCTGCATGTGGCTTGCGAGCCACGGTCTGCCGACCACTGCTCTAAGACATACAAGGTCCTCAAGGAAAGTATCGAACAACGAGAAGACGGAAGATGGAGTTGCTTTACCTTACCGCCCATACACCCACAGAGGGGAGGATGGAACTGTCACACATTTCTAGGAAGCCTGTGAAAGGTGACACGCCGATGCCGCTGCGTTGTGCGAAGTGCTGTCCCCATACCACCTCTTTAATTCTAACTAAAACCTCGTGGGCCAGTTATTATCAGTCCAGCTTTACAGGAGGAGCTGCAGGAAGGCTTGGAGGAGATAATTTACTTACCTAAGCCTCCGAGCCAGTTAGTGCCAGATAGAGAATTTGAATCCAGTTCTATTGTATTTCAAAGCCTATGTTTTGTTCACTATTAGTGCCTGACAGTCTCTCCGAAGGCAGTTAAAGTGAAGAAGCTGTGAAGAATCAAAGGCAAGCGGGAAGTGGGGCCATAAAAGTTGCAGATGTGGCTAACGAAAGCTAAATGTATTATGTGCGTGCGTGTGTGCGCGCGCGCGTGCATGCGTGTGTGTGTGCGTGTGTGTGCGCGTGTGTGTGTGTGTGTGGTGTGTGTGTGTGTGTGTATGGTTCCACCAACCAGAAATGTTCATTGTATCAGACAAAAAATTATAATAGAACACTCAAAATAACAATTGGAGTCAAATGGTCCATTTCCTTACTGAGTTGCATTCTATAACAATATAACACAACCGACTCCAATAAAAACAAGTGACTGGCAGGATCACAAATGCAAAATGGTCAGATCCAAAATATGTAGAGAATTTTTTAAAAATCCCTGCCTACGCTGTGGAATTTTTTTAAAAAAAGAGTAAATAAAAAAGGAAACTTAAGAAAAAGCATGCGTCCCAGGAGTGTGAATGCTGAAGGGGTCCCCAGGGAACACAAAGTCAGCCGCCCCTTCCCCACCCGTGGTGCCTAGAAGAGAACTGAGTGGAGCCACCTCGGCCCGAGGAAGCAGGCGGGACGGACAACAGGACAGCAGCCTCGTCTGGCCCAGCTCCCGGCTTAACGTCCGAACGCCTCCGTCTCCTCGTCTGCAGTGGCGACGAGCCTTCGCTGTGCACCTCTGGGGCTTGTGAGAAGCTGACCGGGAACAAATACGGGAAAACTCGGCAAGGGTCATGAAAATAACACTGGCTTTCTTCACCAAAGCCTAGAGCAGTGATGGGCAACCTTTGAGCTCGGTGTTTCAAACTTCGCCAAAACACTGAGCATAACTTGGGTAGTGTGTCCCTTTGAGGAAAAAAACATTATTTCGCGATATTTATGTTTAAATAACATAAATGTTTCATCCTCAGCATGCGGCCGCCTCAGTGGCCGCGTGTCATCAGAAGTGGCACTGACACGCGTGTCAGAGGTTCGCCATCACTGGCCCAGAGCATGGCTACCCCGTGATGAAAACTCCCGAAACAGAGGAGAGCCGGAAGGCAAGCTGAGAGAGCATGAATGTCCCAGAGCTAGCAGGGAGGCAGTGACACGGACAAGGTGAGCGGGAAAGAGAGGGCCCCACGGCTCTACGCAATGATGTGAACTCGGAGAGAGGCGTGGGGCAGCCCGAGCACAGAGCGGTCGCCTCCCCATCTCCAAGGACACAGACCGGAGACACCGGCTCGGTACAACCCCAACTTTCCTGGTTGTTTATTCCCCAAAGGACATTCAGTGTCATTCCCCATCAACAACGACATCGCCCCCCAGAACCCGCTAAGTGGTGTACACCATGCAGCGACAGATGACCAGAGCGTGTGACTGGCCAACAGAGGATCCTGAGAACAAATTCCAACCTCAGTGTCCACCGGCCACTCCGCAACGCCCTGCTTACTACTTGTCTTAAAAAAAAAAAAAGTGATGAGGAGAACTCTTCAAATCCCAGGAAACATGCAAGAAGGCTCAGGGGAACTATCTCACAGAGTCGCTGAGAATCTCCCGAGGCTGTTGCAAGGTGGTGCTTATAAATGTGCGTGTGTGTGTGTGTGCGTGTGTGTGTGTGTGTGTGTGTGTGTGTGTGTGTGTGTGTGGTTCCCTGGTGATCGCTCTCTAACCCGAAGACCGTCTTTTGCTTTCATTAGTGGCCACGTCAAGCATCGCTGGAGAACTTAAATAAGGGAGGTTGAGCCCATGTCAGATCGGACAGAGGACCCACCAATGAAGTGTGAGGCGTGTTCGGCCGCATGCTGAAGCGGTGTCTCAAACTGCAACGAGCACACGGATCTGATGCACTGGCCTGCGATTCTGCGTCTCCAGCAATCCTCCAGGGGACTCAGGTGCCCAGCCATGGACCAGGTGCCCAATGGGTCGCTGTCAACAGCGAGAGTCAGTCCTAATGCTACGCTCACTGGAAGTCCAGGGACTATAAGAAAAAAAAGCTGAGCCCTGGCCCGTGTGGCTCAGTGGAATGAGCATCGTCCCATTCACCAAGAGGTCGCTGGTTCAATTCCTGGTCAGGGCACATGCCAGGGTTGCAGGCTCCACCCTCAGGAGGGGGCATGCAGGAAGCAGTCAATCCATGTTTCGCTCTCATCGATGTTTCTCTCTCTCCCTTTCCCTTCCTCTCTCTCTAAAAAAATCAGCCTGGCCGGTGTGGCTTAGTGGTTGAGCGCTGACCTATGAACCAGGAGGTCACACACAGTTCAATTCCAGGTCAGGGCACATGCCCAGGTTGCAGGCTCGATCCCCAGTAGGGGATGTGCAGAAGGCTGCCCATCAATGATTCTCTCTCAACATTGATGTTTCTCTCTCTCTCTCTCCTTCCTCTCTGAAATCAATAAAAATATATTTAAAAATAATAAATAAACATAAAAAAAACAATAAAAACGTATTTTTAAAAAGAATAAAGTTGAGAAAATATGCTTTGCGTGTTCATGAGATTGGCGAGAGGCATCTATCACGCAGCTAACCAAGACCCTTCCTGAACAGCGCAAGTCCTGGCCTGGGTCCTCTGAGGGGCACATGGCAGGGAAACCTCCTGGCATTAACTGGTGCCCCTGATGGCAGGACTCAACCTTATGACAGACCTGGCTAAAGGGCAAAGAGGAGAGAAAGCAATAAGAACAAGGAGTGGTGGTGTATTGAGAGCTCAGTCAGGAGTGGAACTGGGGCATGAACCCAGAGTCTCATTCCAGAGCCCACACTCTCACCACTAAACCACTGCCCGGTACAGGCCATGTGATGAAGTGACAAGGAAGGAGGGTATTTAAGAGCAACGGCACTTACTAGTATAAATATGGGGCCCTGAGCAAATTCTCTCTCTCCCTCTCTCTCTCTCTCCCTCCCTCCCTCGTCTTTAATATGGGCACATAACGGTTCATGCACCTCGCTGGGTTTTCTGAGGATTAAACGAAGTCTAAATAAAGCACTTCACCCAGTGTCTGACACATAATAAATGCTTCAGGGAATGTTTTCCAATTATTACGATGAAGAGAACTTTACTGAACTATTTGAAAGGCAAGGTGCCATGAACTATGAATTAATTTGATTTACAACTAGCTTTCCTGACATACAAAATACATGAATAAGACACACACACACACACACACACACACACACACACACTGGACAACTCTCCTCCTAACACACGGTATCAGTACCTCACATCGTGGGAATCCTGAAGGTCTAGTCATCAGTCGGGGAAGATCCAGAGTCCCCTGGCCAGACCTCCTGAGAAGATGGCATGAAGCCAAACCGCCTGGGGTCAAACTCTGCTCTGTCACTCCCCAGCTACGTGACATCGGCCGAGGTCCTTAACCTTTCTGTGCCTCAGTCTCCTCAACTGCAAAGTGGAAATCATCGTTCCCAGCTCGAGTGCTTATGCACATGAGATGAACCAATCCTTACAGTGCTCAGACCTGTGCCTGACACATCCTAATATTTAGTGAGGATATACTGTGATGATAAATTGGTGGCAGTATGGCTAAGATTACTACAAATAATAACAATCATAAAAAACAGACGACTTGATTCATTCTGCAGACATCAACCTTCTTCCTAATGCACGGACCTGCCTAACGACCTCAATCTGAGCGCAGGCCGCAGGCTGCGGCGGGGTTTAGATACTTCTGAATCCAAAGCCTTCTACGGGCTCAGACCCGCCGCAGCCACGGAATCATGCGATACCGGAGTGGCAAAGTCTACAGGAGGAGCTGCTTATCAGTAGCATGTATTTATAAAATGGGGGTTGGGTAGAGAGGTTGGCAAAGACCGCTAAAATAGTCCTATACGCAAACACGTTTGCATACATCAATAGTCCATTAAAAAGCCAATACTTTCACATCACTACCGGGAGAAATACTCAAGACATGTGCCGCGCAATGTGGGAGCATGCAGCCTCTTGCCATCTAAGCGTCAGCCACATACTTGCTCCTTTTCCCTTTCCTAGATTCTATCCCAGAAAGTCTGGAGGTCATTCTATAAGGTTGTGCTTAAGGGTCCAAAGGGGCACAGGCATTCTGTATAAAGTTGCCACGTGCTAACCACAGGTATGTGACCTAATCAGTCTCCAGTGCTCCAGGCACCCACAATCGCTCTCAGGTCAGCGGGGAAACTTTCCCCGGATGAAAGCAATCTCCACCAAGTCCTAACGTCCAGGCAGCTGGACTCCAAAATCACTTTAACATGCTCTTCCTTTCAGATGCTAAACAAACACAACAGGATGTGAATTTACACTTCTCTCCCAATCCCAAGAGGAACAACAACAACAAAAAAAACAAGACCAATCTTGAGGGTGTGAAGATCTGACTCCATAATCTTCCTGGTTGCCTGCTAGCATTTTTCTGGCTGTGCATTATCAAGGAGGCTGGCGGCGGCTCCGGGAAGCCAGCGTGGTCAGCTGTAACCCTTCCCCTCCCGGGGAGCAGTGCTGGGCAGCAGAATGGAAGCCACAAACGGGAGCCACCTGGGTAACCGGTTAGGGGCCCCATTTAAGAAGGTAAAAATGAACAGGTGAAGTTCGTTTCAGTAATGCATTGTACTTAAGCCAATGTTTCGAAAATACTATCCCTTCAACATGTAATAACTATTCAGAACTACCAACGGGATAGTCTACATGCCCATGCCATGTGCTCTTTACGATTACAGAATGTCACAACTCGGACCAGCCACATGTCAAGGGCTCAACAGCCCCGTGTGGCTACCGGCTGCCATACTGGATAGAGCAGCGCTCAGATCCAAAGACTGCCGAAATCATCAGTTTCCTAGGCTGCCTCTAGTGCAGACTTACAGGTAACAGAGATCGGCCAGCTCAGTCTGGGCAGGTGGCTGGATGGGGAACAAACCCCAATTCACAACAGGCTCTGGGTATTTTAACTAATGGCTGGTACCCAGCACGGACAACTGCTATTTACTTTTTACCCAATGTACAAGTATTTGCTGTTTTCGTCTTTGTTCTTAAGTAAGAGCCCAGGTGTTTTTGGCCGCTGGACAAACATCTTCTCAGGGGGAGTGTATGTATCCCTCCCCTTTCCCACAGGAGCAGGAAACGGACGGACACCCCCACGGACACCTCCCAGACATCCCACCCCACGGGGTCTCCATCCACCCTCCACCGCGGGCAGGAGGAACGGGATGCGCACAAGCTGTTCCTGACGCCCCAGCCTCGGTGAGGCGGTCGGAAAGGTGACCTCCTCTGACCAGGCTACCACCTCACAGGCTGACTGACATGCCAAGGGCAACAGCAGAGAGTCTAGGGCTCTTAGCAAACTGCAAAGCGCTACACACTTGCAGTTATTAGTATGGAGAAAGGACATCATTCCTGGCCTGGAAGAGCAGGTAGAAGAAAGGGGGGGAAAGCAGTGTCTTGAAACAGAGATGCTGAGCTGGGGCGGGGGGGGGGGGGGGGGGGGGGGAGGTAACGGGGACGGAGGAGAGCCGTAAGGGACCCACGAAAACACTGGTTGAGCTTGTTCTCTTGGAAGAGCACAGAGGCCTGAGACACCTCTACCCCCTTTTCCTCGAAATCTTGGGAAAGTCAAAAAAGTACGCGCGACAGCTCAGAGTACAAGCTTCTCCCCGGTTCCATCCCCCGTCGCCTCCCCATCCCACCTCTGCCCCCATCCCCAACACGGCGCAACTGGGGTGCTGGCTCACACCCATTTCTTCTCCCCAGGGTGTCACTGAGGCCTGAACACGCAGCGCCCCCGGGGTCCCGGCGCCTGCCCGCCCGGGGCAAAAGTTACCGCGTCCCGGGGAGTCCGGCTCCGGGTTTCTCGGCGGCGCGGAAGCCCCGGCGTTGGCTCCTGCGCCGCCCTCGCTCCTCCAACCAAAACAGAGGCTGCAGCGGCGGAGCTCCCGCCGCCCGTCCCGCCGCCCGCCAGGCCTGCGCCCGCCCGGCAGCGGCGGGGACGAGGTGCGGGGGGCGGGGGGGGGGGGTCACCCACACAAAGGCGCCTTGTGCCTCGCGCTCCGGGACGGGCGGCGGGGACGCGGGGCACCGCATCCAGGCAGGGCAGCGAGGGCGCCCCCACGCTCACCCTCCGGGGAAAGGCCATCCCTCCTCCCTGGCTTCAAGCGAGGGCTCCCCTCGGCTCGCCACGACCGTAACCCCCACCAAGAGCTAGGGGCGCACGGGCCCCCCTGGAGAAGGAAGTTCGCACGGTCACCGCGCGGCGCTCTCCACGCATCTCGCTGGCCAGAAGGGCTGCGCACCCCCGACGCCGGCTCCCCGCCCGTCCCATCCCCGCGGCTGGAGACCCCGGGCCCCTCCGCCCGCTCACCTCTCGTCCAGTCCACCACTTGTTTGGGGCTCCACTTGGTCACGGGCTCCATGGTCAGAGTCTCGCTCCCCGCGGGGCCGGAGTCGGCGGTGAAGTCCTGCTGCCCGCGTCCGCGGCCCCGCTGTCCCACCAGGAGGGCGCGCCCCGCCGCGTCCCTGCGCCCCGTCAAGGCTGCATGGCCGCGGTCAGCGGGTCATCCCGGCGCGGCCCCGCCGGCCGGCGCGGCCCTCTCCCGGCCCCGGGACCGACCGCGGCTGCCGCTCAAGCTGCCGCCGTCCAGCCGCTCCTCCGAGCCAGACAGCTGCTGCTCCCGGGCGATCGCCGCTGCGGGGACGCGGGACGGCGACCCCAGGCCCGCTGTCCTCTCCTCGGCGCGGGGCCCTCCCGACCGGCTGCCCCCCGCCGACCCTCTGCGCCCACGGCCGGGGCTCCTGCCCGCGGTTCCCGGGCCGCGCGCTCGGCTCGGCTCCGGCTCCGGCCTCCGGCTCCGGCTCCTCCTCCGCGCGGCGTGCTCTCCGGCCCCGCTCCGCGTGCGCCGCGGCCGCGAGCTTCCCGCCGCAGGTCCCCCCGCCCGCGCCTCCCTCCGGCCGCCCCGGGGCTGGGAGGCGAGCGGAGCCGGCGCTCGGGTTACAAAGTTGCAGCTCCGGTCGCAGCTCCAGGAATAAAAGAGGAGGCGGGGCCCGGCCCAGCGAAACTCGGGGGCGGGGGTGGGTCCGCCCGAAACGGGCGACTCGGGTTACTT